TGTAGTTTTTACAGTTCTAGGCTTATAAGAGCTTATAAGGACCCACTTTTCTATGTTAGCTTATAGTAAAAGATTTATACTATTTATTCGTAAAACTTATAATCTTATAAGTATTTTATTAGATTTAATATAATTTTTTATATTCGAAACTATAAAAACTAAAAACTATAAAACTACACTACAGTTAATGCTCTAATCCCAATCAATGGTTAATTGAATGCTTAGATTGATCACTAAAGATCTGAACTATCTGCTATCTGGTAATAACTGTTCTTTATATACCTATTCATCTCTTGATTAATTATACTTGATCATTTGGATCACGTGACTCTTTGGCCTTGCTGTGAGTCTTTCCTGGTGACACTCGTGCTGCATTTCTCAGCCATAGCTCAGCCCTACTATGGTTGTCCATAGCTGCCCTGCTCCTGCAGGTGCTCAAGTTAGATCCGAAACATAACGACATTACAAATGGAGGGTAAGCTGCACTAAACTACGAGGGGGGAGCGGGCTTTCATATACAATCGCTAAAATTAAAGTATAGATGCATAGATATGTATTTATTTAAGGACGGCTAAGTCTGAGAGGGAAGGGCGTCTATTATGCAAGGTTCAGGGTCAAAAACAGGCAACGTAATAGTGTGTGTAATTAGCACGGCGCTTCGGTATCGGAGCGTTGTGACGGCGGGCCACGCTCAGGAGAAAAATGGTGACGGGTTAGAGGAAACGGAAGGGAGTGAAAAGCGGGTCTAGGCAAATATTACGGGTAAAAGTCGGGCAAGTTTAAATTTCGGATGCGGTATCCCGTCCGATCTCCTACGACAACCTAGCGAGCGCTGGATTAGTAGTCGGGTCGGTGACGACCGGCGAATCCCCAGTGTTGTATGTTTCTTTATGGCTTCTTTTTTTTTTTGTCTTTTTACTTTAATAGGCACGAAAACCCTTTAGACAATTTTACCGAGCCTCCATTTCCGAAATTTCAACGCGTACTAAACATCGACAACCGGAGTGAGTTTGATCACGAGCAGGCACAATGGTACGATTACCGAATCAACCGAACCTAGTCGATTTCACAACATCTATCAGACTCACATAACTTCGCGGCGCTTGAGTCGCAAATATCCGCTCCTCTGACACTGTCCGAAGACTCACGACTAAAAGGATATGCTCTAATGTCGTCGGATAAACCGTCGTAGTTAAAGCGGAAGACTTTTAGGTAGATTTGGCGGCAGGAGACTAGGAATTATCATGAACCGCAGGCGTCTGATTGTCAGGGTAGCACGGCAATCAAGCCGGCTCGGGACCGGAAGTTGGCCGAAATTGCCAAATATTCCCAAGGGGTCAATAGAATAAACATTTTGCTTCTCTTTAGCTCCACTGTAAAACTCCTCGGCCCCTCACAGGCGCATTGCGCGAGTAAGCCTTTCTTGGCTGAGACGGGCACAATGACATAACATGTGACGCCAACACCTATGCTTGCAGGGTATTCCTTGAACCCAGTATGAAAAGTCCGCTAGGCAATAACTATGGGATGATCCGAATACCCGAATAAGTTACAATTAGAGGCTTATGATATTCACCCTCTAGAGCCTAGGTTAAGAATAAGGAGATGTTTGGCAATTGAGGGCTAGGATAGAGAATTTCCTGTCCTGCTGTTGTTGGAATTTTTACCAACTGTGCCACAGGCAAAATGTAAGCGTCTACGTGTCATTTACCGCAGCAGCTAGAATATCATATATTCTGACAGCTGTGGTCGGTTATCTATACACAAGCCTATATAATACCTGAGACAACGAAACTGAATCGTTAGCCTAGTAAAAATAGAAACCTTACGTAGCATAGATACAGAAGCTAGGCGCAGGATTATGTTAGCAGACTGCATGAAAAGCTGTGGTTATTTCTGGTAGGCACCATAAAGCGCGCCTATTCGATTTCGGAAATGCCATGAATAATAAAAAAGTCGGCTTTAAAGCTCACTAAATACTCGGTAAAGGAATTCAAGTAATGGATCCAAGTAGGATAAGTTCAAGGATCCGAATGCATTTATTCGGGTGGCTAGAGAGTCAAGATAAAAGACCTTAACCTATTAAAGCTCCCTCTGCTAACCAGCTCACTACGCACCTACGTTATACTTGGAGGTATTCTAAACTAGATCGCCTTAATTGTATTTGGAACTACAGCTATTAGGACTGTTATCTCCTTGAGCTATTCTTCTATGGCTCGAAGTAAACGCATCAGTTGCCATGGATAATATAGAGCTGATATCTAGTGCCAGGGGAAAAGACGCTGAAGACCTGCTAATGGATGCTTCATAGACGGCCTGGCACACCTTGGAAGATCAAGAGCTTCCTTCTTTATCGATGCAGTGCGTATAATGGAGTCGTTCTGTTGTACAGCCTAGAACATCCTGGCAGACAACATTGGGTGTGTGATACGGGCAGGAGGTCTTAGCAGATGGCGTGATGGCACCAATCATGGACCAATGTCGGTAAGCGATCTCAAGAAGAGCGAGGAAGAAGCTCAACAGGGTTCACATGACGACGCGCGGCGACAAGTTGAACAGCCAGGTAGTGTGTGGACGGTCAAGCCTAATCCCGATGCCGCGTTGAAAGAGATGACTCTCCGGTTGCCTAGGAAAGAATATTAAGCCGGAGATAATGCATGATCTACCCCCGGCACGCTTTGTTAAAAGTTGATAAAGAGAATAATAGTATTAAATTAAACGTAATTTTTTTTTTGGAAAGGGCTTTAACTAGAGAAGTCTTGGACAAATAGGGTGCATTAGTACGATGACGGTCACTATAACCTCAAGGGCTGTTGTAAGCCAACTTGCGCAACCATTATGAGGCAACAACAAGCAGCAAGTATAACACACTAATAATAGTCCGGCAGCTTATTCCACTTTTAACACCAGAAGCTCCTGTCAGCGTGGCAACAAACCGCGCCTCGTGGGAAATGTGTGGCCACAACATGATGATAAAGTTATGCAACAGATACGTCATGCCGCTGAATTGATATCTGATACTAGCTGTAAGCCAGTCATAGTACGGTCCGTCTCGCCCGGCAGTTGTATTCTGGAATCAAAGTGACACGTCAAATTTTTCCATGAACATATCGGGGGCTCTGCATGAAACAGGTTCTAGGGCTGCAACGTGACGTCGAGATTCAAGACAGGACTACGAGTGGGCAAGAAAACAAGGTACTATTTCAATATCGCGCCGCCTTCCGGTATTCTCAACGTCTCCTTTCCAAATTCCCCCTTTAATTGTCCCAGTTTAGGCTTCTAGTCTGTTTCAAACTTTAGCATCAAGTAACAAACGCGTCTTTCGACCCAATTATAACACCATGCCAAGCCGCCACGGAGATGCACATGCAGAGTATTACAATGACGAGGATTATAGACCATCCCGGTCGCCGAGTAGGTCATACCCAGTCGTCCACGCAGTCGGTCGTGGCCAGTTCCACGATGCTAACTAGATTGTCAAATCTGCAGTTGCCGGTCACGGATCCAGGCGTGAGGTAGAGCCCTACGAGTATGAAGCCTACTCCGGCCAACGAACTCGACGCCGTCACGATTACGCACCTGGCCATGGAGACAGAGAAGTAGACTACTATCGCCACGACGACCGTCGCCCACGACGAGGGCGATCATTACACAGCGAGGAGAGGTACGCCGGCAGGAGAAGAGACCATTCTCACCACCGTCGACAGCCACGTGCGCGATCCCATAGCGAAAACCGCGTCAAGGAGGCTGCAACCGCGGCGCTGGCCGCTGGTTTGGCCGAGGCCATCAAGTCTCGTCACAGCCGGGACCAGTCCAAACGTGCTATTACAGCGGCTGCTGGAGCGGCGGCGGTGGATGCTCTTGTGAGCAATGGGGAAGACGGCAAGAAAGGACGGCACATTGCGGAAAGCGCTGTTAGCGGCCTCTTGATCGATCGGCTTGCAAACGGCAGCTCTAGACGCTGAGAAATATAACTGTTTCTGGCTATGCTATGAATAGTCTGGGTCGTGCTATTCGTGCTACCAACCCTAGCTATTCGTGCTACTACCGCTCGATTTGGCCTAGTGGCTAACTGCCCACACCCCACCATACATTTTCACATACACCTATATGGTCGCGCCCGCTTTTTAAAAATTCAATCGGTAATTCAACTTAAACCTAACTTATCATTTTTTTAATAACACGAGCTCAGGCGAGCACCGGCAGAGCACAAATCGCTCAAAAACGCGATTTCCGGTGTTTTTGATGAATGTGTGCACATTCACGGGCCGTCGCTGCCCGGGCTCCCAAGGGGTTATCCATTGAAGCTGCGGCTCTTCCGGCTGTGTTTGAGGGATAATTTCCTTAATTTCTGGCGACCCTAATACTGCTGCTTGCTCCGTGGCTTGTTTACCTGTTGATCGAGTATGTGTGCGATTTGCAGCGTTTCCTGACCGCGCTCGCGACCGTATTATAAGTCTTCATTATCGTTGCGTCTTAAATCGTATTTCGTGATAACTCTCTTATTGCCAGGGCAATGTATGTGAAATTATATGGCGGGGCGTGGTAGTGTCAGAATGGGTCACTTGTTACGGGTACAAATTACGTACGCATAATCAGATAAGGGTAAACCCTTAACCACGAGTAGATAACCCTAATAATAAGCGCACTTATAAAAAGAGCGTATATGATTCTCTCTTTTATAATTAAATATAAACTTATATATATATATTATTA